GGACCTTCAGGGTTTTGGGGGCACCTCATGTCCCCCAACACGGATGTTTAGGCAGCACACCTGTCTGGCAGGAGGGAAAGTACTTATTCTGGCAAGGCTTGAAACGCCCTTCCTGCAACCCAGCCCCAAAGGGTGACATCCCCGTCCCACTGCTGGGGCCACCTCCTGGCATGGCCTTAACCTGCACCCCACGGGGAGCAGCCCCGTAGGCTGGCTCAGGGCAGAAGCAGGGTGTCTGTGCCTGGGACTATGGGTGCGGGGTGGCCCCAGCCCTGAGGAGTCCCTGGGGCGCAGGGGGACCCATGGGTGCTGCCATCCCAGCCGGTTGCGTAAACCCAGCAGCCGCGGGGGGCGGAATGAGATTGCAGGGGGGTAGACGGGAACCGCGGGAGGCGAAATGAGATTGCAGGGGATTACAAGGAACAGGCTCAGGCTGCTTGATTCTTGTTTCTAAAAGGAGCTCTTAAGCCGCTGTTGTTTTCTCGGCGCTTCAGATTAGGGCCGAGACATGTGGGGTGGAAAAAAAAATTCCCCAGGGTCCCCAGAGGGCCCCCCCCACCTGCCCACGGCTCCCCACCAGCTCCATCTGTTAGTGCCAAGCACGAGAGAAAAATGGGGTGACCACCCCTGCCTGGGTACCCCAAAACCACCCCCCATCTCCTCCCCTCGTCCCCAGGAAAGGCACTGGGGGAGTGGGGCTCGCCGTGGCCCCACACACGGGTGGGGGGTTCGGTGCCCCCAGCGCAGACCCTGCTGCTGCTGACAGGCCCTGGGGTGCTACAGGGGGGGATTTGGGGTGCTCACTCCCCCCACCCTGCGCTCCCTCTCTTGCAGAGATTATGCACGATGTGATCCGGAAAGTGAAGAAGAAGGGCGAGTGGAAGGTGAGTGCCAAACCCCAGGGGGGCCAGGAGAGGAGGAGGAGGAGAAGGGTGGGGAGGAGGAAGCAGGGAAGGGGGTAGGTGTGGGCAGGGAGCCCCCAAAGGTGGGGAAGGGGTGGGGAAGGGCAGTTCCCTGGCTGCCTGCCGTGCCCCCAGCTGACAGCCCCTCTCCCCAGGTACTGGTGGTGGATCAGCTCAGCATGCGCATGCTTTCCTCCTGCTGCAAGATGACCGACATCATGACGGAGGGCATAACGAGTGAGTATCCCAGCCGGCTCTCGCAAACCTCATTGTAGAAAGGGCAAAACCTCCTTCTCTACCAGGGGACCCACAAAGGCATCTCCAGGCTGGCACAAGCCAGCCGAGGCGGCGGCACGGCCCCCACCCAGCCCCACGCCCACTTGGGATGGAGACACGCTACCTCCCATTGCTCATGGACAACTGTCTTGGTGCCAGGCTGATATTTCACAGCCTCCCTCCTTGCCTGCTGGGGCTGGAGCAGCCTGAACGCCTTGACTCCTGGCAGTATCTCAGTCCGAGGAGGAAACCAGGTGTTATTTTATGTCAGCCCTATAAATAGCTCCCTGCAGCACTCGGAAAGGAGAAGGAAACTCCAGGCTGTACATCGGGAGGTGTTTGGGGCAGCGGGGGTTTGCCCCAGCCTGGGTACCACCAGAGCATCACCCCCGGGCGGTCCCCTCCAGCGGAGGGATGTGAGAATAAACCAAGGCGACAGCAGCATGGGAGCACGCAGACAAATCCACCGCCCCCCCGGGACCTTGCCAGGCACCCACACACGCAGCCCCAGCGGGGCACTGTGGGGCTGGGATGGGGTGGCGATAGCCCCTGCCCCAGCTCCCGGGTGGGCAGGGGCAAGTGGGGACATTTTGGACATGGAGGGGTTGGCA